GGATATTGTGAGGGAGATAAACTTTGCATATACCATTCATTATTACAGACAATGCGAAAGAGTTCGAGAGCTGTTAGAGTACCGTCTCCCAACTATTTGGAAAGCACTGCATTGTCTCTATTGCAGATGCCTCCCTTAAGAGACCTGCAATCCATGAATAACAGTTCTGTACAGAAGCACGGAAGTGTTGCATTTTGTCGAATGCTTTTTCTGCACCTACTGAGGCGATCATGTGCTTTTCATTCTGCCCTCTGCCAACGGGGTGCGTCTCGATGCTGGACCTGCCCCTGCCGCGCCACCTTTGCATTCCAGGGTGGCTCCCAGGTGACCATGGTGTGTGGTCCCATCTCTCTATCATGGAAGGGCGGGCTGGACGTGGGAGGCTGGCGTTTGCTGAACAACGTTACGTCTGTGTTCGTCGGGGCTATCGGCCTGTGCTTCTCTTCCCTGCCGTGTTTGTGCCTGGCTTTGGCTCAGGGCGATGCTGGTCTCGCAGAGTGAGTTTGTGGGGGTGGGAGGGAGGCTGGCGTTCCTCCTTCGTCCTGTGGAGGGGGGCGCTCCTGCCGGGGGTCTCTGATCGCCCACCCGCCCCCGCGTTTGCTGGCGGTCTGTGCAGGCTGCCCACGTCTTCACAGTCCAGCCCTGGTGGGTTGTGTGTTTCTAGGAATTTTCTCATTTCTCCCAGGTTGTCCAATGTGATGGTGTGTGATTATCAACAATGGTCCCTTATAATTGTTTTTCTCTGGCATCAGCTGTAATGTCTTCTGTTTAACTATTGACTTAATTGTTTAGTGTTCGCCCTTTTCTTCTCAGTTAATTTAGCTAAGGGTTTGTTGATTTTGTTTATCCTTTTTAAAAAACCCACTCTTAATTTGTTGAATTTTTTCTTGTTTTTCTATTCTCTATTTTTATTGATTCCTGCTCTAATCTTTATTACTCCTTCCTTTTTCTAACTTCAAGCTTACCTTGTTCCTCTTTTTTTAAGTCCTTGGGGTACAAAGTAAGTTTTTCTTGGACGTTTTTCTTCTTTTTTAGTGTAGGTGTTTATCATTGTAAACTTGCCTCTTAAAACTGCTTTCGTTGCATTGCATAAGTTTTTATATGCTGTGTTTCCTTTTTCATTTATCTTGAATACGAGCAAACTGGAGTTTCAGGGCCTCCAGGAGCTAACGTAGTGACGTGATTAAATATGTCAGTTATTTTACTAATTGGTTTGTTAGGAGGACCTGCAGGTAATGGCATGTAATTCTCCGACTCTGATTACATACTCCATTGTATTGGCAAATTTGGGGCTTTGATCAAACCTCAGAAACTTGGCATGTAGAATACAAAGATGCCTGTTTGTAAATGTCTAATGTGTCAAAAAACAAAACCATAATGTTGGTTCCTATCACACCTCTGGGTTGTTATAAAGAGTGGTTTTAGGAGCCCTGGCTTTCCCTAGAAAGTCAGCTTTTACAGCAAACGAGCATTCTGGGATCGGGCTGCGAATGAGTTTTACCGATCGCATGGCGCTCTGCCATGAGACAGGGCAGGGGACTTACAATGTCCCAGGTTTACAACATGGATTATACGCTTAACTTCCTGTTACACTCAGAGACACTGGCCCGCATGTATAATAATAGAACCGAAGCTAAGCGGCCTTTCATTTCCAGTCCTGGGAGTGACAGGGTGTGGTCGAGCAGCCGCGCTGTGTGCCGCTGGGCAGCTGGGCAGCGCCTGGACATGCATTTGCAGGCATCGGACAGCCAACGGCCGCGGGTGGCTGAGCCTCCTTTCCCCTCGCTGGGTGACGTGTGCCAGGCCGGGAGGCAGGGCTGGGGGCCCGCCTGGGGCGGGGGATCCCCGTGAGGGGAGGGGTGAGCGCTGGGTGGGGGTGACGTGGCTGGCCAGTGCTGGGCTCCAGAGGGAAGGGGCAAAGGTGAAGAAAGGCACCAGGGCCGCGGCGTGCACGGGCGAGAGACCCCATGCGCTCTGGGCGAAGGAGCCGCAGGGCTGGCGGGCGCCCGGCCAGCAGGGGCGCAGGGCAGAGCCGCTCCTCACCTGCAGTCGGAGGGGGGTCCGTGAAGGGTCAGACGTCAGGAGCAAAGGCTGGTGGTCCCCGGCCGAAGGCTGCTCTAGACCTGCCATGAGAAGCTTTAAGGTGCGTCTCCCAGGCCGGGCACCGCGCGACTCACGGGTCTTTTGGGCCTGTGGAGACATCACCCAATCTCTGCTCCTTCGCACGCGGCATCTCCCAGTGCGCACGGAAGTCACTGCAGCACTTTACAGGGGCTTTGTCCGCGGCGCGGCGGCTCTCCGCGCAGGATGCTCACACGCGGCTTCTCCCACTCCTTCTGGGCTCCACTGTAAACGGTTGACAGGATGTGAATTTCTGTTAGTGCCGCCATATAATTAGTGCTCTAATAAGTATAACTGACTATTATGTCACAAAGAAAAAGTCCATCCATTCACATTAACATATTGACATTAGGTGACTTCTAGTGTCTTTTACCTCTTATAAAATATACAAGCCAACAAGCCCAAACCAATCAACTTGCAATGTCTAATACGCGTTTTTGAAGAACAGTAGGAGACTCCCAGCATTTCCCAGGGAGGAAATGGGTTCACATCAGAGATCTGGGCACCCCCCCGCCGGCTCTCACAAGCACTGTTGACCGCTGGCGGCTGCGTGCGCCCCGCAGGGCCGCCTCTCAAGTGGACGCGTCTATTGGCTCTCCCTGCGGGTGTGTGGGGGCCAGAAGCCTGGTTTCTTCCCTCCACAATTCTTTAGATAACAAGTTTAAGAGAGGGAAGGACCCATGGAGCCCTCCTGTGACTGGATCTAGTTTAGCTTTCACGTTCCAGCGTAATAAACTTGAACTTGTTGGCATGAGACTTCTGTTCGCATGGGGGGGGAAGAGTGTGCATATATTTCATGGGAGGAGACAAAATTTGTTGTCAAAAGGAAAGAATGTTTCTATTTAAAAGTCGAGGCACAGAGATCCTGGTACACTTCATATCAAGAGGTGACATGTGTCCCCCACCTTCCCTGCCTGCCTCCGCCCCCAAGTTCAAAGGCTTTTGCCTTCCCTGGCAATAATATAATGACGTAACTTCCAATGCTTTGCCATAAGATGCCATGACATTTCTGCATTTACCACTAGAAAGCTCAGTCTTAGAGCCTCTAGCTGCTTCTTGGAGGCAGAGGCAGGACCACGTGGAGAGGCCACGGGGAGAGGCCACGTGGATGCGCTTGGGCAGAAAGTCCCGGTGGATTAGCCAATGAGCAGCCCTTCGAGGAAATACTTCTTACTGTGGAAAGACATGTAGGCACTTTCCTTAGCTCAGGAACACTTCCCACAACAAATTCCGTATACCGTGTCTGTCTGTCCTGGGAAATGCAGGAACACCCTGTTGGTCAGAGTACTTCGTTCAATATCTTACAAGCTGCTACACAAGTTGGACCGCCTTTGGTTGGCGCGCAGCGAGCGTCCGGGGGACAGCGGCAAAAGGCAGCTGGGCGTTAGCGGCGTCATGTGCGCTTCAGTCTTAAAACCACGGAGCACTTTTCTTCTAAAATGTATATTCCAAGCTTCAAATTTTAACTATCAGTAAGGAATGTGATCTCATGACATACAGAGGAAGCAAGAAAATTCCTCTGGGTTGAAAGAGAATTTTGAAGACATATGAAATTTGAATTGAGGAAGGTATTAGCATGTACAAAAGCTGTTTTTGACATGTGAATTTTAGAAAAATGATATGCCTTCATTGGTTGATTCTTGGATGTGCTTCCCTGGGAATCAAACCTGGAACCTTTTGATGTGTGGGGTGATGCTCTGACCCATTCGTGGAATCTAATGAACAAACTGTAATAACAAGCAAAACGGAGACAGACTCAGACGGGAGCAGGCTGGTAGCGGGTGGAGGGACTGAGCAATAAGGAAAAAGGACTCAGGGACATGGCCGGCAGTGTGGGGACTGCGGCGGGGAGGAGGGGGTCAGGGGACTGAATGGTAATGGAAGAATACAATTAAAAATTTTAAAAAATTATATGCAAAACCAAAATAAAGAAACCTTAGCTTTGTATATATGCTACAGTGAGGAAATGCCGTTTTGGGCTTTGTGGCCGAAAGACCTTTCCATGAGCGGATAGGGTTCCGTTTCCGCCACTGCCTGATCTTTCCAAACAGCACGCACGATGACTGAGCAGACACTCATTGCCACAGTATCGTCATGGCTCATAGGGCGACTCCTCTACAGAATACTTTGTTGCAGTTCCAGGAAAGTAGCTGCAGCTCTGGCGGATTTACAAGCAGAGGCGGCTGAGCACAGTAGTGAGGTGCACGTGCTCTGGACGCAGCCTGGATGGAAACCTTCGCGCTCAGTGCCCCCGCAGTGCGCGCACTAAACCGCTGCGGGTCTCCGTTTCTCCTCTGTAAAGCGAATGGTTGAATGGATAACAGCAGCTACCTGTTTCTTTGGAGGTTGATAAGCAGACAGAAGGATAACAGTGTTTATTTCAGGGGGTTGCAGTAACAAAACAGAAGCCCCGAGAACAACGCCCGGTAAACTGTAAGCGCTCCGCGAGTTTGCATCTGTCATGACTGTGGTGGCGCTGTTCCGCTCATTGTCGCTGTGGGGGCCCGAGCAGAGTCCCTGTCCGGCTTTGCCCGGGTTTCTTAGAAAGAAGCTCAGAGGCGTCCCGCCAGGGGCCCCGGCCACCGGTGCGCAAGGCAACGGCCCACGTGGGGCACCTAAGCTCCACCCCGGCCAGGCTCCACGGCCGTGGGCGCTCCGTTCCCCGCCTGCAGCGGGCTCTGAGCTTGCGCCGTGCGCGCTCTGGCTGCGGTTTGGGGTCCCGGCGGCCTGCGCGGGCGCGGGGCGGGATGGGCGGTGCCCCGGGTCGGTGCGCGGGGGCGGGGCCAAGAGGAGGGGGCTCTGGGGCTGCGGTCGCCATGGAGGGCGCTGAGCCGTGAGGAGCCCGCAGCCCGACCGCCGCTGCCCACTCCGCACGCGCCATGGCGCTGCGCCGGCGGCAGCCGCCCGTGCTGAGCCACGAGTTCGTGCTGCAGAATCACGCAGACCTGGCGGCGTGCGTGGGCATGTTCTTCGTGCTGGGGCTGCTCTTCGAGCGCACAGCAGAGGCGTCCTTCGTATTCCTGACGCTGCAGCACGGCGTCCCCGCCCCCGCCGAGGAGTCCCCGCCCTGCGCGCGCTACCGCTACGGCGCGCGCGACCTGGCCACCGTCTTCTTCTACTCGCTGGTGGCCGTCCTCGTGCATGCCCTGCTGCGGGAGTACGTGCTGGACCGCGTGGCGCGCCGCCTGCAACTGCCCCGCGCGCGCCAGGGCCGCTTCAACGAGGTGGGCCAGCTGGGCGCCTTCTGCCTGGTGTCGAGCGTGTGGGGCTTCGCGGTGCTGCTGGCCGAGGGCTGCCTGGCCGAGCCCGCCCTCCTGTGGCGCGCGCCGCTAGCCACCATGACCTTCCGCACCAAGCTCTTCTACGTGGCGCAGCTGGCCTACTGGTGCCACGCGGTGCCCGAGCTCTACTTCCAGCGCACACGCCCGCAGGACCTGCCGCGCCAGCTGGTCTACATCGGCCTGCACCTGTTCCACATCGCCGGCGCCTACCTGCTCTACCTGCACCACTTGGGGCTGCTGCTGCTCGCCATGCACTACGCCGTGGAGCTGCTCACGCACGTGCGCGACCTCGTCCTTCTGGGCGACGACAGTCCCCCGCACGGCGTGTCGCTCTGGGCCGCTGCGCTCATCCTGGGCCGTGTGGGGACCCTCGTGGTGTCCGTGCTCACCGTGGGCCTCCACCTGGCTGCGGGCCAGGCCCGGGACCCGGATGCGGCGGCCCGCAACGTGAACGTGCTGGCGGCGAGGATCGCCGTGCTCCTGTCCAGCTGCACCATCCAGGCCTGCGTCGCCTGGGGCCTGGGCGGCACCCCCCTGCAGAGGCAGCTGGAGGGAGCCACCGCCGCCCTGCGCGCCCCCGCCGCCAGGAAGAAGCGGGCGAAAGGCAGGCCGTGCAGAAAAGCGGCCGAAAACGGCGTGGCCGCGTGGAGCAGACCGCACACTCCCCATCTGAGGAAGGACAGGTCTCCGTAATGGAAGACGCACGGCTCGGGCCACGTCCCCGCAGACCGCTGCCCTCGGATGTCTTTCCGCGTCCCAGGTTTCCCTGTTCTTGACGATAGTTTGTGCTGCCTTTGATTCTTGTCGATCCTGTGCCATGTACTGTTTTTTAAAAGGCCTTTGAGAGAGAGTGATTATTATGAATGGAAAATTAGTGTACATGAAGCTGTCGTCGTCAAAATAGTAGCCATCACCGCCATCGTGTTTATTTTTAACGGTTGAACATTGTCTGAGTGGTGCGCAGAAAACTACAAAATTCTGCACACCAGAGACACTGATGGTTCGTGACATGAGCGAGAGGCTGTCCTAGCAAGGCCACACTCCGATGCTCTCTCTCAGGATAAAGTAGAAATACTATAGCTGTGGAGGTCATTTTATATAACTTTCGTATTCTCAATTCTTAGGATGTTCTTTTTAAGACTGTACACCTGGAGAACATCTTGCAAAACTGCCAGATAAACGCTGTTTCCCGGTGGCGGCCGATAGCGTTGCTTCGCCCAGAAGGCGGTGCGCTAATGGGTAGCGTCTGTGCAGACTGCGCGCCATCTAGTGAGTCACGGAACCTTGAAATAATATAAAAGCATCGCTGAAGAAGGGGAGCCCTCTTTTGTCCATTTGAAACACTTGTAAAGTGGAAATCAAAACATTAAATATTTGTCAAAAGGAAATCAGACTTAGCTTTTTATGTTTATTAAAAGTTATTCTTAATGAGGTTTGTAAGTTCAAGAAAATATTGTTTAAGCTGTAAACATTTTTTAAAGTTATACTTGGTTTATATCTATAAAAAAGAATGTCGGCTCATCCCATGTGGAAAGCATTTAATGTACCAAGTACTTTGAAAATCAGCTGTGTCAATAGTTCCCTGAAAGTCTTTTTAGAAATAATGTTCGTCATTAGAGCTGTGCAGCCATCTTAACGGGGAAATAGTTATGAGACATGTTATATTCTCCCTAGATATACACGCACACATATGTATACATATATACACACGTGTGCATGTGTATAAAAACCTTTTTACAGAAGCCAATATAAACAGCAGGCCCATGGGTGGTGGTGGGTATTTCATATGCGCCCCCTTCGCTCTGCCTTAATTTGGGTTTCCACGTGTCTTTATACTTCGTTAGGACACAGTGTTTAAGGGTAGGCTACGGTAAGGCCGCATGAGCAGGGCCTTGCATGACGTTGTTTTATTCAGTGTCATTCCACGCATAGCCATTTCGTTGTATTGTGAATGGAAAAAAGTGGCTCCCAGGCCGGGGCGGCTGTCTGTGTGGAGTGTGCGGTTCTGCCCGGTCCGCGTGGGTTTCTCTGGGGCTCGGTTCCCTCCCGCACCCGCGGATGTGCAGCAAGGCGAGCGGCCATGGATGCAGAGGCGGCCGGTCCGGGCGGGCCGCCCACACCTGAGCTGCAGGGTGCCGTTCGCTGCCGCGGTGAATCGCGGAGGGGTTTGGGTTCCTATGTAGAAGTTTGGCGATGTTTAGTGACCGGAAGTTGCTATAGGAACTTAGCTCTATCAATTAGCTTCTGGCCACATGAATCTCATTATACAGAGGAGGGCAAAGTAGGTTTACAGTTGTTTATATCGAAATAGTACAATAATTAATAAACAGTAATAGAAGAATGAACTCTATGTTTTGTGTCCTCACCACTATAAACCCACTTTTGCCCACCCCATACAGCTTTCGCTTCAGGTCACAGTTTCCAGGAACCTGTCAACAACATAAAGCGAGCGTGTAGTGTAATTTCTCTCTATTTTTTCACACTGTGCCTCTATCGCTCCGTCTTTGAGAGCTGTCATTGGGTTTGTTGTGGGTCATTCGACTTTTTCAAGTTTTCCCTGAAACTTGAACGTAAGTCCATGTGCACCGCAGACCCAAGACAGAAGAGCCTCACCCGCCAAAGCCCTCTCTCCTGTTCTGTCTGCTGTGAGAAGTTCTTAAGAAAGCGAGATCGTTTCCTTTTCGGGGGCAGGAGCCTCCGCCCTCCCGCCGGCGCCCTCCCCAGCAGCCCAGCACCGCAGTGCCGGCGGCTCCTGCTCCGAGGGCCGCAGTGGGAACCACGCTCGGCCAGCCCCCGCGGCTGTGGGACCCGACGGTCAGCTGCGCGGGGCAGGGGCGGTCTCGCCCCTCCCCCACCTTCTAAGGAGCCCTCGCCTGTTACTGGTTACCCCACTCCTGGTAACTCATTTCTTATCCGTCATAGACTCCATTTGCAGATAAGCTCAGGCCTGGCGCAACCTGGGAATGGCAGCGAGGACGTCATTGTCTCAGGTGACAACTGTCCAGGCTGGGGGTTCAGCCGGGCTTGACGCAAAATAGGACCAGGGCCCCGATTGGCTTCCCAGGGATTTTCTTGGCTTTGTCTCCCTCGGGCTGGCTTTCCAATGTGGCAGCGAGTGACACAGCTGCTCTGGGCCTCGCGTCCACATGTTGCAAACGCACAGAGGATGAGAGAGACCGGTCCCTGGAGGGTCCAGGGCACTGCCCGTCACCTCCCGAGAACTCACTGGGGAAAGGTGTGCGGGGCGGATCAGGTGTGCGCTTCCCTGGGAGGTGGCAAAGCCCCTCCTCTGTGACATCGGGGAATTAACTAAAGGACGAGTAGAATAGAGAGATTTAAAGTTGTGTGTGCTTGTGGATAACCGGAAAAACCCCACCTCAATGTAAATGGCACTGTAAGAATAATCATGTTCATACTTGTTGCACGTTACTCATCAGGTGCCGTAAACTATGTGCCGTGCGCTGTGTCAGAGCTTCGTAGCCCCCGAGGCGGCCCTGACCCCCCCCCGCCGGGGTGCCTCGTTGCGCCGTCTCACATGGTGTGCGTGGGCCGCTGTCTCCCTCTCCGAACCGTGGTCATGTGATGGACAATGAAAGGTCTGGGAAGCGGATTGTGTCCATTTGTAAAATTCTTGTTTAATCTTTAAATCGGATAAGCCCGTTCTTATTTATCCTGGAAATGGTATTATTTATAGGCAAGAGATGGGGCTTCGTTAGGGGTTGGCAGAGGAGAGGTGTGAGGGAGTTTCAAAGAAGTACCAGGAGGAGCGGCCTCCCGCGGGAATGGGCCCCTGAGGCCTGCGGACACTGTTTCCTTCCTTGTCGCCATCAGCTGACCTTCAGGGGGGGCATTAAACCATCCCCTCTCAGCACAGAAAACGCAGGCTTTAACACGGGCTTTAAACTCCGCAGCATGTAGTGTGGGGACCTGCCAGAAACGGCACTCGCCTCACACGTTTTATCGATTCCACTTGGTACAAAAGGTGGTCGAGTGTCCACTAGGCCAGCGTTGACCGGCGGCTCGCTGTGGCCGGCATCGTGCTTGGGCCTGCGGCCCGCCGAGCGCTCAGCGCCCCGCCACTGAAGACACCGGCCGTCGGGCTGGTCAGCGCTGGGGGACGGATCAGTCGGGGGTGTTCACGCTGTGGGAGAAGTGGCCTAGAGTCACCGCTTTAAAGAAGAACTTCGAAGGCCAGGTAGCTGTGAGCAGGACTGCAGACGCCAGAGAGTCGGAAGGGCCAGAGGCACAGCCCGCAGACAGAGGGACGCGCGGAGAGGCGGGCGACGGAGCGGCCTGCGCACCGGCCGTGCGCGAGAGCCGGTGGGGGGGGGGGGCGGGGGCGGGGCGAGGCCGGCGCATGGGCCCCACGCAGAGGTGCGCGCCCGTCTCACACCCAGAGCCCCTCGGTGTCCTGCCCGCTCAGCGCTCTTGCTGGGTCGGGAGCAGCTGGTGGTGCCATTCTCTGCGGCAGAAAATGCACGAAGAGAAATGAGTTTGTGAACTAAAATCAACTGAGTTTTTAGATATTTTTAAATTCAGATGTTAAAGCAACAGCAGTGTCAAAATGTGAAAACATAGCCATGCCACCAGAACATACCGACTTGAGATGACGGGAAAGAGCTCATCTGGAGGTGACACACACGGCCAGTCACCATCGCGTGGCCACGGAGGTCACGCCATGGGTGGAATTGCAGAGGCAGCGTGCGGAGGGAGAAATGGAAGGGCTCGGGAAACCTCGAGGGAGGGGTGGGTAAAAAACAACTATAAAAAGACCCATAAAAAATCCTTAAAGATACGGAGCAGCAAGTGGACAGAACATGTGTGAGCCAAGCACGGGCTTGGGGAAAACAGCAAACCGGCGGGGCCTGCCCTGGGGCGGCCTGCCCTGTGGCCCAGCAAAGGGGGCGTTTGGGACAGGAATTGGGGGTGGTGAGTTGGTTACATTATGTAGCAACGAGAAGTTCTTTGACTCAGTTTTCCAGGGAATTTTCAAATCATTGCCAAAACTTATTTTTCAACGATAAATCAGGTCATAATTAAGCATCCAAACAAGCCAAGCATCACAAATACATGGCAGATGATGGAAAGGGACTTTTTATGCACTAATGTTGACACATTTCTTGGACTGAACTGAATGGCAGAGGTTTTTAAAACTATGATTCATATGTTAAAGGAAATAACACAAGCTTGAACATATTTTCCGGAAACTGGTAATTGTAAAATGTGAGGTGGTTAACTTGGGTTAAAAATAGAAGTCCAAAAATCTATTTAATAAGGAACATTTAAAACCAACAGAAACGTTAAACAGCAAATTAGAAACATTGGAAACCGGAGCTGTCAGAAAAAACTGATACCAAAATACCACAAGCTACAGGGCACATCAGCACCCGGGGGGAGGGGGAGAAGGTCAAACGTGCGTAACAGGAGCTCCAGGGGGAGGCGCCGAGGGGCAGACGCCACGTTGAAAGCGCCCAGGACTGTCCTGTGGCGGCAGCCCTCCCACCCCACCAGCCTGGGAGCGCGCGCACACATGCACACACGTGTCTGTGCACACACGCACACGCCCCTCCCCGACACACACACATTTACCTGGCAGTGGCATTGCATTCAGTAAGCATGACAGAAATGCTTAGTCTATGGCCCTAGCGAGTAACGAAACAGAACCTTCTAAACGACAGCTTCAGAGGCACGGA